GGCACCCATATAAAAGGCTCCCCAAAATTTGTGGAATGAATAAATGATGCTTTAAAAAAAGGGCCCTGGCCAGTTGGCTCAGTTGGTTAAAGCATTGTCCTGATATGCCAAGGTTGTGGATTCAATTCCCAGTCAGGGCACATATAAGAACCAACCAATGAATGCATACATAAGTGGAACAACAAATTGATATCTCTCTCTCTCTCTCTCTCTTTCTCTCTCTTTCTCTTTCTCTCATCAATGAAAACAATAAAAAATAAATACCTGATATCTGAGATTAACAATAGATACATTTTAACGTCAGGGAAAAGGCAGGGTGCAGACATTGCTGCTATCATTCAACTAACAGATGAGGTAAGTGTTTGAAAGGAAAACACCAAATTATAACCATATCAAGAGGTAAGAAAATCTGAGAGAATCTATATGTAAATGGCCAGGTAGAAAACAGATGAGCAAACCTCCTTTGATGTTGACTGAAACACACCCCAGATGCCAGCAATAAGCATCTAGATCAGAAGATGGCAAACTACTGCCTGGACTGGTTTTGTATGGCCCCCAGCAAAGAATAGTTTTCACATTTTTAAAGGGTTATAAACAACAACAAGGAAGAACAAGTGACAGAGGCCACCTGGCACACAAAACCTAAGATATTTACAGAAAAGGTTAAGAGGATAAAAGAATTCTGTTTAAAATGACAATAATAGCTTTAAATACTTAATACATTTAACCAAAAATGTACATAAACTATAAACTATTACTAAGAGCCATGAAAGAGGTTAATAAAAGTATAAACTATTACTAAGATCTATAAAAGAGTTTTCAATAACCAGATATCTTATGATTCTGGTGGCCCCACTGGTATGTATATGCATCTACTATATGTAAACTATAGTTCAATAAAATCAATTTTTGAAGAAAAAAAATTTTAAGTGTCTTCTCCCACACAGTCTGATTCCAGGGGTCTGGGTTGGAACCCAGGAACCACCATTGTTAACAAATGCACAATGTTCTGATGTTAACTAATGGTCCTCAGATCCCCTACACCAGTGGTTGGCAAACTGCGGCTCCTGAGCCACATGCGGCTCTTTGGCCCCTTGAGTGTGGCTCTTCCACAAAATACCACGTGCGGGCGTGCACGTACAGTGCGATTGAAACTTCGTGGCCCATGCACAGAAGTCGGTTTTCGGCCTGGGCGAGTCTATTTTGAAGAAGTGGCATTAGAAGAAGTGGGGGGTGTCGGTTGGTCGGGCGACGCGGCACGGGGGAGGCACGCACGATTCATGCACGAGTTGAGTGAGCCAGTCAGTCAGCAGTCTCATTGTGCAGTGGTTAGTTAATTTTAGGGAACGCTGTGGAGGTGAGTGAAAGAAGATGTAGTGTCGAGGATTGAGAAAGGTATGTTGAGATGGTTTGGACGTATAGAGAGGATGAACGAAAGGAGACAGACAAAAAAAGTATACAAGACGAGTGTGGATGGGAGAGTTGGAAGGGGTCGACCTCAGCGAACGTACCTCAATCAGATTGAGGACATTTTTAGCAAAGGCCAGCGTAGGAGTACCCTAATTAAGTTAATAACAATGTACCTACCTATATAGTTTAAGTTTAAAAAATTTGGCTCTCAAAAGAAATTTCAATCGTTGTACTGTTGATATTGGGCTCTGTTGACTAATGAGTTTGCCGACCACTGCCCTACACCTTTGGTGGCCTGGTGTGGCATACAGCTGTTTTCTCTGCTTCCATAAACCTATCCGGGCAGGTGAGAGTATGACTAAGACGATTCTGGGATAAAGAAACTCAAAACCTTTATTGGCCAAGTGGTAGCTTGGTCTTTACCAAGACACAAACAAGAGCTTTCAGAGGTGGCCAGGTTCAATGATAAAGCACATTTTAAAAGCCAATTCATGGTTCTCTGCTTAAATCCCATCATTAGGGGATTATAGCTGAGCTGTGGCTGCTCCATTAAATTCTGCTCAATGCTGTCATTTGACCGAACCCTTTGAACCCAAGCCAAAAAAAGATTATTGGAACAAATAACCTCTATTTGTATATGATCAACCCCCTTTAAGTGTACTTAATTAAATGGTTGCCTAATACATAGGGTCCTGCCTTAGGAAGTTGACACTTCTGACACTGAGCCTAGCTGTCATTATTCTACTTAAGCGGCAATGAGTGAGGGCATGGTTATTGTTTGATCTTGTGATAATGGTTATGCAAACAGGGTGTAACTGAAAAAACACCAGTCATCCTACAGCCTTTTCCAAAACATTCTAAGAACTCTTACTCTTGTTTTTCAAACTGCAAGTCACTACCCACTTGTGAGCCATGAAATCAACTTAGTGGATCTCAAACAGAATTGTTTAAATGATTAAATATACAGGACAAAAAACTTCAGAGCACATCTCACAAGGGAACTTAGTTTTGTACTATGGCTTTGTACTATGCTTTGTACTATGGCCCATCAAATACGGCATAAAAGTCACCAAAGTAACTAAAGTTCTGCCCAGTAACATAAAAGGCATATTCCAAGAACCCAATTTAAATCAGGTTATTTGCTGAGCTTCAACTAATATTCCCATAAAGATAATTTGCCAAAGTGGTAAAAGGTGACTGAGACTAATATTATACTATCCCCGCTCTACAACGATGGAGTGCCCAGAATCAAGGCCTCAGAGTGGCTTTCTTCAAACTCTATCGAGCTCCAAACTCAGTGGTTGAGTGTTGACCTATGAAATAGGTGGTCACGGTTCAATTCCCAGACAGGGCACATGCCCGGGTTGCCGGCTCAATCCCCAGCATGGGGCAAGCAGGAGGCAGCCAATCAATGATTCTCTCTCATCACTGATGTTTCTCTCTCTCTTTTCCTCCCTGAAATCAATAAAAATATATTTTTTAAAAATCTATCGAGCTCCAAAATAACCATCCACTTCAATAACTGTAATCAAGAAAACCTTCATGTTGACCAAAATCACCCCAATAAAATAAAAAAAGGAAAACCTCTGTGTACCCCTGAAACCTATACAATTTTATTAACCAATGTCACCCAATAGTAAATAAATAAATAAATAGGGGCAGGAGGGGGAGGGAGGGATCAAGGAAGGGAGGGACAGAGAGGGGGAGGGAAAGAGAGAAGAAATTAAGAAAACCTCCTATTATACCTCATGAGCTGTGTCAGTCTTCTGTCACTGTTTTGGTTTGTGGATTTATTCTCTTAAAAAGAAAATTAAAAAATAAGCCAGATAGTCCTGGCTAAGTAGCTCAGTTGGTTAGAGCATTGACCAGATATGCCAAGATTGCAGGTTAGATACCTTATCAGGGCACACATAAGAATCAACCAAGGGCCCTAACCGGTTTGGCTCAGTGGATAGAGCGTCGGCCTGCGGACTGAAGGGCCCCAGGTTCAATTCCGGTCAAGGGCATGTACCTTGGTTGCGGGCACATCCCCAGTAGGAGGTGTGCAGGAGGCAGCTGATCGATGTTTCTCTCTCTTCACTGTTTCTAACTCTCTATCCCTCTCCCTTCCTCTCTGTGAAAAATCAATAAAATATATTTTTTTTAAAAAAGAATCAACCAAGGAATGCATAAATAAGTGAAACAACAAGTCAATGTTTCTCTCTCTGAAAAAATAAATAAATAAATAAGCCAGATAAAACCCGGACTTCTGAGGGGGAACCCAGGATTAGGGTCCAGGTTCCATCTCGGGAACCACCCACTGAGAACCCAGGAGGAAATGTCCTTTCAAGGCCACACCCCCATGGCCCACCTGACTTGGAGGCATGATGGGCCTATTTAAAGAGGAATTAAGGGCTGAGCTGCTCCTGAAATTAAGAAATCGTGCCCTCCCATCATCAGCACTTAGTAGTAGTCCCGAGTTCAAAGCATTCAACCACTGAATGCATTATTCACTAAGACTGCTCCCCAAGAGTAGAGTCCCCTTGTGTACAATTCATCTTTATAGTCCCAGCTCTTAGCACAGAATAGGTTCTCAGTAAATGTTAATGATACACATTTACCCCAAATAGATGGCACTGAATGAATACTACATAGAAAACATAAACGCAAACGATACAATAAGAATCTGTGATAAGCCGAACCGGTTTGGCTCAGTGGATAGAGCGTCGGCCTGCGGACTGAGGGGTCCCGGGTTCGGTTCTGGTCAAGGGCATGTACCTTGGTTTCGGGCACATCCCTAGTAGGGGGCGTGCAGGAGGCAGCTGATCGATCTCTCTCATCGATGTTTCTAACTCTCTATCCCTCTCCCTTCTTCTCTGTAAAAAATCAATAAAATATATTAAAAAAAAAAAAAGAATCTGTGATAAGACTCACTTGCCCCATAGCAACAACCCTGCTCCAAGGTGGAAGAAAGGGGCCCCTGGGCGAATAGTGCTGGATTACTTAAGAGTCACTTAAAATGGAGAGGAGAACCTCAACTGTGGGCAAGAGAGGACACAAAGCTCCTGGATAGACGTGGCAAATCTTCCTGGATCATATACAGGGTGAAGTGGGTAGGGAGCATGATTCCTAATTGAAAGCAAAAATTTTTGGTGCATAAAGTAAAATGCACAAGTGATAAAAACAAAACAGATGTTAAAGACTATGCCCTGCCTTCAGAAGACCCCTTCATTCCTAAAAGCCCTTGGTACAGAATAAGCTCTAGTCCCAAAATAAACTCTAAGTCCTAAAAAAGCACTTAAATCCAGCCCGATATGGCTGTTTGCTGATGTTGGTTTACACAGCCTGAGTCATGAAAAGCAATGGCCAATCTATATAGATGAGAAGGTACTGAATCGTCGACTACCCGGTTAGGAAAAAGATAAGTCAAGTGTACAGTAAAAGGTCAAAGCTGCTGACATCGTGTTGGTGTGGGGGCTTTAAAATACAAAGTCACCAGCAATCTTTGTTTTCTGACCTAATGTTGTAGGAAAGATCACCTAACAGAAATCTCTTCCCGAAATTTTATTTCAATAAAATTATGACAAGACCTTAAGACTCATCATCCTCACCATTCCTCTCTTGCCCCAGGTGCCATCCACTTGGTCCACACTGACGTGCAATTCCCAGGTCTTAGCTCAAAAAGCCTCCTCCTCCAAGAAGCATTCCTGGGTTAGCAGCCCTTCTTATGTGTTTCCAAGGCACACAGCTTCTTTGTCCAGCTCCCCGACCAGGAAGGGATAGGGGCAGGAACACAGTGTCCATCACAGGAAAGGCATTCAAATATTTAGAGAAAACCTACACATTTTTCCATGGGCCAGTCATATAGTAGAAACAAAACCTAATCCCTGCCCTCCAGGTTTATTCAAGGATATCGTGTGGCTGAGACAAGAGAGGGGAGAGGGAGAAGTAGTGAAGCAAAAGGTAGAGCCTGTGGACCAGAATTAAAATATAAATGTATATTTGAAAAAGGTCAAACAGAATCAAGATGGGTTTTACTGCATTTATTTCTACTGTGTGTGACTTAACGTATCATCTCTTGTGCAAATGATTTTTTTTCATTTAAACACTACTTTCAATATATTAATCAGTCATTACAGGGGACACCAAAAAGTTAATTTTACACAAAATTTTAATGACAGCATAAAAAGCGCAGAACTGACTGCCTATCATATCGGTGGGGTGAGGTGGGTAGTGAGCATGATTCCTAATTGAAAGCAAATATTTTGTGGTGCAAACATGATTTCATGTAATCCTCATCAAAATTCTGAGAAGGGTGGTTATTGGTTCTAGAGTTTAGAAAACAGGCACAGAAAGGCTGACTCACCCTTGGACAAAAGCCAAGGACAAGTGGCAAAAGCAGCAATTATTTTGGGAGCGAAAGCTGCTCCTGTTCCCTCAGAGACCAGCAGAACAAGGCTCTGAAGATGAGCAACCAGAGGTCATTTCTGAAGGTCATTCTGGAGGAAGCCAAGGAATGCCCCGTTACTGTCAGGGAATGGAAAGAAAGAAGCTTTTTCCTCTTCCACATCTCCAAATGTCATTTGATGCCCCTTCTCACCCACATTCCAGTACAAGGACAGCCTTGGGTGCCAAGGTAACTTCCAGGGGCTGGCTCTGCCCTGCTAACCCTGTACCCCACTTTCTATTGCTCTAGCACCCAGCTCCATCCCTCCTTTGCAGCACAGCTGATGGCTCCTCCGTCACCTCCAGCTACTGTTGCCACTGCTGCCTGTGTGCTAGGAGAAGCATTTCAAGTAACTGTTCATTCCACGCCTCAAGTTCAATGTACTTATCAGCCCGCTCCCTGAATTCCTCTTCAGACCATACCATTCCTCTTTGGCATGTTTTCATCCTTTCCTCTGTCCCAAGTGCCAAAGCCAAATTTCCTTCTGTCACCTGCAGAGAGAGGTCTAGCTCCACCTTTCCCTTATTCCCTAACTACCCATTACACCTGCTCAGTTTTGCTGGACTTCGGTACATTTACCTAGTTCAGTGGTCGGCAAACTGCCGGCTCGCGAGCCACATGCGGCTCTTTG